GGCTGCATGTGCCAAGGCTCTATATTCTACCTCAGTGGAAGAAAGAGCCACCACTTTTTGTTTCTTAGAACTCCATTGAATTAAATTAGGGCTTGAAAATACACAATATCCATTAGTTGACCTCCTATCTTGCAAACTACTTTCCTAGTCTATATCAGCATGGCACTCAACATAAAGTTTGACAACTACCTTGAATTGGAGACCATGATCTAATGTTTCTTTAATATACCTAAGAACTCTTTTACAAGCCTACCATTGGAGATCAAAAAGTGTTTTAAGAAATTGACTTAACTTATTGATTGAATAGCTAGTATCATGTCTTGTAAGAGTCAAGTATTGCAATGCTCCAACAATACTTCTATATAACCCATGATCACTAAAACTCTCAATATCACCAAGAAATAATCATGTGCCAAGAGCCATAGGAGTGTGACAAGCCTTAGCTTCTATCTTTTAATTTTCTTGAGGAGACTAGGTGCATATTTAGCTTGCTTTAGATGAATACCACATGATGTTCTTATTGCCTCTAAGCCAAGAAAATAATGAAGAAGACCTAATATGTTTAGAGCAAATTGTGCATTAAGCTCATTGACTTGTTGAGTAATATAAGATTGATTTGCATTAGTAAGCAAAATATCATCTACATAGATGAGAATATAAATGGTTGAGAACCTTCTTTTTTAATAAACAAACTAAAAGTTTTAATACCTTACCAAGTGTATTAAACCTAAGTGGAGTGGGTTGCTAAGTTGATTTTAGTGTTCATTTATCATAAATAGAAAACAATCAAATACGAACCAATGTAAAGAATACCAGGTTTTTACATGGTTCGGCAAAATGCATACATCCATGGGACCAAGTCCAAAATGAAGCTAATCCACTATGGTATACTTTTCAATTTAATTACAAAGCCAAAGATTAAGCCTCAGTTGCAAGAACACTCCCTGTTTTGCAATGCTTCAATCTCTACCCTTTGGTCAAACTACGTACTACCATAACAAGCTCCAAGTACACAAAAGCACCTGATCAGCCTTGAGCTCCTCTCAAAGTACATCAACGAAGATCCATTTTGGTTGAACCAACTCAGCAAGCTTTAAGCATCAGCTACATAACCAACGTAGAGAGAAAGGACAAATTCTAAGAACTTTGATGACGGTATTTGTAAGCCTGCCTAAGCATAGAAACTTGATAAAAAAAGCAAATAAAACCTTTAGGAATATTTAGAGTACTTTCAAGGAAATAATCAGGCTTAAAAACAAAATTGAATTAGAGAAGAGTTTATATAAAGAAAATCCAGCCAACGCAAATGGATAGGCGGCCAACAAGAAAACTTTATGATTTCATCTTTATGAAAAGTTTATTCCATTTCTCTTGGGACTGCCGACCATTGAAAACAAAGTTTCCAACTCATTGAGTAAATAATTGACAAGTGTTATGGACCACAAACAATATCTCATAAAGAGAATAAAGACAGCTCACAGGAATATTAAAATGCAATACGTTTCTTAAGCAAAATATTAGCCAGATTCGTGTGATCATCCAAACCCTAAGTGCTCACACAATATATGTAACACCCACATCAAGGTACGTAACTTTATTTATGCCCTAATGATTGAAAGTTGGTATTTTCATATTTCGTCACGGCAAAAGAGTTTTGTCGCCGTGGCAATGAACTCACTGCCCAAATTCATGTTTTTAGAAATGCAGACTTCGCCATGACAAGAAAAGAATTTCGCCGCGACAATAAACTCTCTAGAACTTTTGAGAAAATTCTAGCAAATTGCTTCAGGGTAAAATGGTCATTTCACCCATAATTAGATGAAAGAGTGGGGAGTGAAAAGAAGTAAAATTACACAGAGAAGGCAATGGAAATGAGGGCATTATTGTAATTGACTAAAAGGCAAAGATGGAATTTCTTAGAAAGTGCAAGGGTAAAATGGAAATCTATAAATATTATTATGTGATATTAAGGGTTCAAGAAATGAAACCCTAGCCATTCTACCCTTCATTCACGCCACCTTCATCCCAAAAGCTCTCAAATTTTCTTCAACCAATTTGAAAGGAAATTCATATAATTTGGCCTAAGTTTGAGAGATTTTCAATCCTAAGCATCCATAGGTAAGATTCTTGTACCAAGATGTGAGATTAAATTTTAAGTTTTGAATTCTTATTGTTTTATATGCTTAGGGTTTAAGAGAAAGAGAGTTGTAACAAGGGAAGACTAAAGTGTTTGTGTTGCTCACATTTAAGGTAAGTAAATCAAATTCTAGCTTTGAGTTGATCAATAATTGTATAGAGAAATTCTTATATGTATGTATGTATTTGTATGGTGAGAATTGTTGATTGAATTGATGATGAATGATGGTTAGAATTCAGCCATGAGAAGTAGTGTTTATGTATGTGGTGAATTGGTGCAAGTTTGGATGAAATATGAAAGAATTGAAGTAGAATTGTGGAGTGTGATTTCCTGGCCAGGTTTGATTTGGTTTTAGGGACTTTTGCTCCAAATTTTGGTGGCTTGAGAGAGATGTAGAAGTGTAGCTAAGTTAGTGTTTGCATGTGCATATAAACTGTTTGATGAAATTTCAAAGAGAAGTGCATGCATAAGTATGTTAGTTTATTACCTTGTTATGGTATTGTTGTTGGTAGAGAATAACAGTTCTATAATGATATCTTTATATGCCATAATGCATTCTTGAATATGAGTAATTGAATTTAGAGAGAATAGCAAAGAATAAGCTTATCTACATGCATACATACATATATGAGAACACTAAGGAACAAAGAGAAAGAAAGAAAAGAAGCTATTTAAAGAATCAATTATTAAAGAACACATTTGAAGAATCTATAAAAACTGATTTCTATTTAAAGGAAAGATAAGAGAAGGTTGTTGCGATGGAGAACCCGTGAGTGACAGAGAAGTAGAATAGCCCCACATGCACGCTGCCTTTGGTGAGCGGCCTCAGAATAGAAAAAAAGAATTTGTACAGTCCGTTAGAAGTGCATGTGGATGAGGACTGTATCCAGAAAAAATTTCAGAATATACTCACACGGCCAGGGTTCCGAATCCATGCCTCAACCGAGTCCGATCGACAAACCAGAATAGAAAAGAAAGAAAGAAAGAAGAGAAATCAGAATAGAAACAAAAAAGAAAGAATAGAACCAGAAAAGAAGAATAGAAACAGAAAAGAAAGAAGAGAAACAGAAAGAGAAAGAAACACAGAAAAAGAAAGAAGAGAGATAAGAAAAGAAACAGAAAACAAAATGAGAAATAGAGGACAAAATAAGAAAACAGAAAAGAAAATGCATTGCTTAAAAAAAAAAAATTTAGTTATTTGTGCATATGCATTATGTTACGTTCACTAACCAGAAGTGCTTATGTGTTTCAGTGATATTTCAGTTTTTATTAATTATGCTTACACTTCGGTAAGTAAGAAATTAGGACATTAGAAAGAATGGAGAAGAATAGGGAAGCTTGGTATGAGGAAAGAAATCCAGAATATGAGTAACGGAGGAAGAATAGTATTATAGTTGGTTTACATACTGAGCAATTAGTGCTCACTCCGTTAATTTCATTGTTTTTGCAGGTAATAGATGAGATGCGGTCGAGAGGAACGTCAAGTAGCAGAGGAGAATGGCAACACTGTCCGATTGTACTAAGTGTTTATTTATGTAACTTTGTCACTTGATGTAGAGATTTTGTATATAAAGTAAAGTTAGTTTTTGAGCCCTCTATTACTTACTTATACACATATATATTTTCTATGAGATATTTAGTGAGTTTTACTTTATATTTCCCAAAGAATTATTAGCTAAAGAGAACTATTACAATACAACAGAAAAACAACATAATTGAAAATGGTCACTTTGACAGAGAGTCGAGACACAAGAAAGTAATCAAAAATGGTTGTGTCGGGGCAAGACGATGTCATGACGTCAGAGATCAGTTTTGCCACACTGAGTTCATAATTTGACAAAAACTTACAGTCTGCCCCTTTGTCAAACTTATGAACAAAGCACAATAAAAAAAAAAAAAAAAAAAAAAAATCATGTCTCAAGAGAACATCAATCAGTCTAAAAGAGATAAGTAAACAAAAATAATCTCAATGAGAATAAAAGAATTTTAAGCAATGAGATAAACAAAAAAACTTAAGCAAAGCAATAAAAGGATTGCTTTAACAAAAAAAAAAAAAAAAACACAACTTCCCTTGAGTGAATAAACCAATCAGTTCAGAAATCAATTGATTAGAAAAAAAATTCTCAATATAAAATAAAAGCATCAGCAGCTGCACACAAAAGCGAAAAAATAAAACCAATTGAGCAGCAAAAACTTAATCATAAAAATTGCATCAACCACATAAACAAAATACATCAGCAATAATTTCAAGGGGGTTCTAAAAAAACAAAAAAACAAAATAATAATAAAAGGNAAAAAAAAAAAAAAAAAAAAAAAAAAAAAACCTCTCCGCTTGAGTGAATAAACCAATCAGTTCAGAAATCAATTGATTAGAAAAAAATTCTTAATATAAAATAAAAGCAACTGCAGCTGCTCACAAAAGAGAAAAAAATAAAACCAATTGAGTAGCAAAAACTTAATCATAAAAATTGCATCAACCACATAAACAAAATACATCAGCAATAATTTCAAGGGAGTTCTAAAAAAACAAAAAAACTAATAAAAGGTTCTTCATGAAAAAAAAAAAATTTGTCTATTTTTTGTCTATCTTCACACCAAGATGAGCACATCAGTTCACCACTTCAAATCGCATCAAGTCATCACATCAGCAGACACAGACAAAACAACAAACAACTCCCCCTCTTTGTTCATAAGTTAAGATGTCTTGAGGATCTTCTTGGGCAAGTTTCATGTTTTCAGCCTGAGTCTTCAACCTTTTTGCTCAAGTGGACACAATTGGTGCAGGAACCAATGGATCTTGATGTGGATCACCCTCAATGTTGGCTTCATGGATATCAGGGGCAACATCAGTAGCAGTAGCATCCTAGGCAGTCTCTGTTTGATCAATAGTCGTAGCTTGGTCATCCTTTTCTGAAGCAAGAGAGGCAGCTTGAGCACGAGTAGTAGCTTGATCATCCTCTACTTGATCAGAACCAGCAGCTGCTTGTTGAGTTCCAATTGGGGGTTCCTGTGGAATTGGAACAGATGATGAAGGAGCAGCTGCCGAAGATGAAGGAAGATCACTTTGGATCTTTTTCAGCATATCCTCCAGGACATCCACTCATGCATGAAAAGTGGAGTGGATGTGAGAAATTTGCTCCGTAAGGTGAGAAAATTTCTCATCCATTTTGTTGTCAAGAACCTGCAAAAGATCAAAAATTCTGGACTGGCCAGAGTTAGCTTTGCCGAAGGCAACATGAGAGGTTAAAGGCATATCCTGAGCAGGTACTGCAGTTGGGATCTTGAAGGTTTTGGCTGTAATGAATCTGATTTTCAGCTGGGTATCCATTGGTTGCATCTTAAGATTATAGGAGGTAACAATCCTATGCATTAAAGAAGCAAAAGGTAAAGCAAGGGATTTCCCTTTGGCTTTGGCAGCAAACCTGATGCTGGAGTAAATCAAAACCGTCAAATCAATTTTCTTTTGATTTGCAATTCCATAGATCAACTTAGCTTTATCAAGCCTCACAGAGGAGTTGTGAAGCAATGGAGACCAGTTTGTCACGGTGATCCTAAGTAAGATTTTATAAAACTGGGTCAGCATATTGGAAGGAATGTGGCCAATCTCAGGCCATTTCAGAACAGACCCTCCAGTAAGGTTGATGGCTAACTGGTCCAAGTGTTCAGGGCTGATGGTCAAATCATCAGATTCCTCAATAATGGGAAGATTTAAAAACTTCCTAACCACCTCAACAGTGAATTCAATCCAATGCCCTCTAACACAAACATGATTTCTTTTCAACCTTACTTTGTCAATATCAGTCCTAAAGTTTGAATAAAACTCCTGACCAAAGGCCTGATAAGGAATGGGAGGACTCTCTACAGTTTTTACCCATTGTCTATCAATCACAATCTATTTGATTTCAGGAACATCATCAAGTTGTACATGGGATTCACACTAGGTCTATGAACAATAAGTCATTAAACTTTATTGATTCAACAAAAGGAGAGTAAAAAATAAGACATTTACCCAACTCCAATGATTCATATGCATCGATTTTTGCCTTTTTCTTCGTCGGTTGGGGTATTTTGATGCTTCCTTTGTATGTTTGGATTTTTAAGAAGATTTCTTCTTCTTCTTCTTGTGCTTAACTCGCTCAATTAACGGCTCATCAGAGGCATGTTGATCATCAGCAGGAGAGGCAGGTGGTGACGAAGTCTTATCAGAGGAGGACTGTGATGGGTCTAGTTGTTCATCAGTCTGACTCACCGTGGCCCTTTTCTTTGATTCTGTTGCATTCCTGATGTCGGCGATGGATGAATCTTGATGCTCCATGATTCACAAGAACTTAGAGATTAAAAATCTCAAGATGAAATTTACAGAGAAATTTGAGAGAAAACATTTTGAACAGCACGAAAATGGATCAAGTGAGAGATAATGAGAGGTCACAACATTTTAAATGCAAACCCTAGAAAAATCAGGAATTTTAAAGAAAGTCGTCACTTAAGTTTCATGTGAGCACACCGTCATGCAAAGTGATCACTCAGAAGAAATAATTTCAAGGTGATGACCTCACTCCAGGAGTGGGCACACAACACACAAATTAAGAAAAATCAAACAATCTCATGACTCAAAAGTCAATGAGATCGAATGAGGATCAAATTCTCAATTTAAATCAATTACATGAGAGAGAGGTGACAATCAAGACTCATGTAAGTACCGTGAACCAAGCAGGTTATCACATGAATACTCGAGGTGGTGATATAGACACAAAGACAGTAGACTAAAAACACATAAAATTTAAAAGTTAAGTACAAAATGGTCATAAGATCGATCAAAATTTTTACAAGATTTAAAGAGATAAATCATATTGATTTGATTAGAAGACACTAAATTCATTTATCAACCTATGAAAGAAATGCATAAGGAGTATCTCATCCAATGAACATTCAACAACTTAAAATAATCACTCCATTAAGTCACAAAAGAGCAACAAAAGCAAGCATTCTTAATCATATGTGTGTGATGTGTCCTCAAGAGGTGAGTATGACTCATTGGTCAATTTTTAATTAAAGGCAACTCCCCTTTCCCTCATGTCCTTTTTCTTTTTGCTAATTCTTTTTTTTTTTTTTTTTAACTTAATCTCAACATTTTGGATTCTTTTGCATATAAATAGAGATTAATGGGTATAACATTCAAGAGGTAACCAAGTGTAGCTTTTGCACTTGCAAGTAGGTAGTCCTCTAAATGGTAAATTTTCAAAGGACATAGGAGTCTCTACATCCTAGAAAATTACTCAAATATGACTTTTACACTAAAAGCAAGGCAGCTCTTTCACAAGGTGACACGAAATATGCACTAAGCACTCAAAAATGAAAGAATGTCGTTATACTTCTTGAGGTGAAAAACAAGGTGGACAAATCACTCACCACTTACATTTCAAAGAGAGAAACAAATATTTATGACACAACACAAATCATATACACTTGTAACTTTAAAACCAAAGAAAAAAAATTCTCATGACATTATTAAAAGAAAGACTCTACTCAAGTTGAGTTAGTCCAACAGACTTCCTCAAATTCACAAAATTTTGAAAGTCTAAAGCCTTTGTAAATAAGTCAGCAAGTTGAAACTCTGTGTTCACATGTGCAAGGGAGATCACTCTATCTTCAACTAAGTCTCTAATGAAATGATATCTAATATTAATGTGTTTAGTCCTAGAGTGTTGAACTGGATTCTTAGAAATGTTAATTGCACTTGTATTATCACAGAAAACGGTAACACATTCTTGATCAAAACCATAGTCACTCAACATTTGTTTAATCCACAAAACCTGTATAGTATATCCCTGCAGCAATGTACTCTGCCTCTGCAGTTGAGAGAGAGATGGACTTATGTTACTTGTTGTACCAAGTCAACAAGTTGTTTCCAAGGTAAAAGCATCCTCCAGATGTACTCTTCCTGTCATCCAAGCTTCCAGCCCAATCTACATCACTAAATCCAACCAAGGTAGGGTTAGTGTCATATGCAAACCACAATCCAAAGTCATATGTACTTGAGACATCTCTTCACATCAATAAGATGAAGTTAAGTAGAATTAGCTTGAAACCTTGCACAAACACCTACACTGAAACATAAGTCAGGCTTACTTGCAGTTAAATACAACAAGCTTCCTATGATGCTTCCAAACATTTTGTTATCTACCTTTTTCCCATTTACATCCTTGGACAGTTTAAGGGTAAAGCTCATAGGTGTTTTAGCATGTTTTGCATTTTCAATGTTGAATCTTTTAAGCATGTTCTTTGCATATTTTGATTGTGATACAAACAAACCACTATCAAATTGCTTAATTTGAAGTCCTAAAAACATGTTTAATTCTCCTACCATGCTCATTTCAAACTCATCTTTCATTAAAGTAATAAACTCATGCAATTGTGTGTGTGAAGTGGAACCAAAAATTATGTCATCAACATAAATTTGAGCACAAAGAAACTCACTACGACCATGTTTAATAAAAAGAGTCTTATTAGCATTACCTCTTCCAAAATTGTGATCAAGGAAGAATGAGGTAAGCCTCTCATACCATGATCTGAAGCATGCTTCAGTCCATACAGTGCTTTATTGAGTTTGATTGCATGATCTGGCTTGTAGGGATCCTAAAATCCAATAGGTTGTTCAACATAGACTTCTTCCATAAGCAAGCCATTCAAGAATGCACTCTTCACATCCATTTGATAGAACTTCAACTTCAAGCAACATGCAAATCCCAAAATCAATTGGATTGATTCTAATCTAGCCGCCAAAGCAAAGGTCTCGTCAAAATCAACCCCCTCTAGTTGTGTGTACCCTTGAGCAACAAGCCTGACCTTGTTTCTGATGATATTTCCAAATTCGTCAGACTTCTTCTTAAAGATCCACTTGGTTCCTATGACATTAATTCCTTCAGGCCAAGGAACCAAGCTCCACACGTCGTTTCTCTCGAATTGTTCAAGCTGCTCATGCATGGCAACAATCCAGCAATTTTCCTCAAGAGCTTGTTTTGCGTTCTATAGTTCTGAAAGAGAAACATAGCATAAATGGTTAATTCCATTAAACCTTTTTCTCCTTGTAACCATTACCTCTTCAGGATTTCCAATGACAAAAGATGGTGGATGAGCCTTCTTGATCTAAAAGGGAGGTTCTCTAGTCTTGGGAGTCTTTCCTTGAGTGATTTCATCTAATAAATCAACTACCAAGTCAAGTCCTTGTCTTTGGGAGACAGACCCCTATTGAGTAGCGGTGGTGCTCACTTCAAGTTCTAGGGTGGTCACTTCATCTTGAGATTTAGTTCTAGAAGGAGACACAGTGGGCACATTGTCACAATCTGTGGTCACCTTAGCAGGAGCAAGCATATCATCAATTTCATCTTCTTTTGAAAACTGTGAGTAATCTTCTGAATCAGAGAAAACCACATTAAAAGATTCAATGATATGAACTGTTCTCATGTTAAAAACTCTATATGCCCTACTGTTTGATGAATACTTGAGGAAAATTCCTTCATCACTTTTAGCATCAAATTTCCCTAGATGATCTCTATCATTCAATACATAGCACTTGCAACCAAAGACATGGAAATACGAAAGATTTGGCTTCTTACCTTTCCTTAAGAAATCTGTTGGCGATATGGCATACAGTGTTTGTTGCCTCGGCCCAAAGTCTTGTAGGCAACTTCTTTGCATTTAACATAACTCTTTCCATCTCTTGAAAAACTATATTCTTCCTCTCCACTACACCATTCTATTGAGGTGTCTTTAGGGCAGAAAATTCATGCCAAATGCCCTATATTTCACAGAATTTAGAAAAATCAGAATTTTCAAACTCCCTCCCATTATTACTTCTTATCCTCATTACTTTCTTTACACGGCATTTTTGCTCCACCTACAACCTTTTCACGAGACACTTAAAAGCTTCAAATGCATCATATTTTTCTCTTAAAAAATAAACCCATGAAAATCTAGAAAAAATCATCAGCACCAACATAAACATCTCTTTCCACCTAAACTTTCAGTTTGCATTGGACCCATAAGATCCATATGAAGAAGTTCTAAAACTCAAGAGGTAGTCAAATTTAGATAGAGGTTTGTGAGTGCTCTTGTTTTGCTTACCCTGCTGGCAAGGTCCACAAACTTTACCTTTGGGAAACACAAGCTTCAGCATTCCCTTAACAGCCTTCTTGGAGAGTTTCACGAGATCTTTGAAGTTTATATGACCAAGTTTCTTATGCCATAATCAACACAATCTGATTTAGTGCTCAAACAAGAAACTTTGTTAGACAATAAATAGCAATTATCATTTGTTTTCTTTCCCTCAAGCAAAGAAGAACCATTAGCATTCAAGATTTGACAAATATTCTTTGAGAATTGAACAACACAATCCTTGTCACAAATTTGGCTAATGCTAATAAGATTCGCCTTTAGACCTTCAACATAAAACAAATCATTTAGCATTAGGAAACCAAAATTACAATAGACATTTTTTTCCAAGAATCTTACCCTTTTTTTCCACCACCATAGGTCACATGGCCATCTTCCACAAGTTCAAGATTAGTCAATAAGGCTTTGTTACCTATCATGTGTCTTGAACAGCCATTGTCAAAGTACCACAAGTCATTTTGAAAAGCAAGTAATGAAGTATGGACAACAAGACAGTTATCACTAAGCTTAGGTTTCCACACTTTACAGTTTTTGACAAAATTATTCTAGTGTAGTGACATGAGAACTAAAGTGGTGACGTCACTAAATTAAAATCATGATTTCCAATGCATCTTTTCAAATACGAAATGAGTTTAAAACAATTTGGTCTGATATGACTTTTCTTTTGGCAATAATGACAGATAGGAATGAATCTTTTTACCATCAAGGTTTGATCACTTGGGGGAGCAACAGTTTTCTGAATTGATTCAGTGGCCTTGACAAAGGTGGTCACACCAGGTTTGGAGGTGCTAGCACAAAAAGAGAATCCCAAACCTATTTTATCACCGAAGATCTTTCTTTGGCCAAGAACTTCGTCAAGCTTGTATGAACCTGCATTTAACCTTTCAACAATGGTCTTGGCCTCTGTTATTCATTTAAAGCCTGATTCAACAAAATTTCCTTATTGGACAAATTGGATAACGTGGCTTTCATTTTATCATTCAAAATTTTCTTATCTTCTATCAAGGAAGATTTTTCAGATTCAAGAGATTTAATCCTCTTGATGGCTTTTAACCAAGCCTCATACATCTTGTCATAGGCCTTCTGTTGCTCTTTGTAGACGTCACTTGAGTCATCCGAGGACGCACTATCACTATCATCTTG